ACGAACACTAATATCTCTCTTTTTAGTAAATTTTGCAAGGAAGAAAAAAAAATTGGAAATTTCCAATTTTCCTTGATTTCAAAGAATAATTTTTTATCTTTGAAAGTACAAAGAAAAGTAACTTTCTTCTTCTTTTTTTTTTTTTTTTTTGCAGAGACCGATGTCTATACGTTATTGCAGTAGCTCCACGCGAAAAATAAAAGAAGAATACAGTGAAAAGAGAACGGTGGACGTAGGCAAAGAGTAAATCGAGTTTTCTCGTCATTGTTTCACTAGATCGAGGGCGAAGAGAACGAACGAGATACTCACTCCGTAGACTCGATGGTGGGCGTAGTGGGCATGATCATGAGTATGCAGTTAACCAATATTGTAGTGATAATGAAGAGGGAGAACAGTGGGTGAACCAATATATAAATGGCCACTCGTCGTATCGGATTGAACGGGTCGAGGATCCACATCGCATCTGTCGCTGAGAACCTGAATATGTCCTTCCCCTTGCTGATGACGACGAAGGTCTGGTTGAGAGAGAGAGAGAAAGAAAAAAAAAAAAAGAAAAGAAACAAATGATATTACATTGAGAAAATAGCGTGTGAATAAATCCTTGACTTGTGAAAATCTTGTAAGAAAAAAAAAAAAAGAAAAATTAGGAGGAAATCCAATTTCCCTCCTGTTACAAATTAATAATATATACAATATCCTCAATATTTTTATTATACGTATTGTTGCTGTAAAAGAGACGATACGATTTATTATCGCGTATAATAAATCTGACACCTGTTTTTATCGTGTAATTGTCATTTAATCATTTAAGCTAATGAAAGGAGGGAAGAGAATATAAATATAGTTTCCGGTTTCGTAATAAAATGCATCGATACCCTTTGATTATGATAGAAGCTATCGATATCCTCGAGAGGTGTGGAGGCCAACTCGGGTGGAAATTCGTTGTGCAGTCGGACCGGGATCGGTGCTCCTTGTTCGAGCATCGGATCCGGCTGAGGACCCTCGTCCTCGTCCTCGTCGTCATATCGAACCTGCGAACGAAACACTTCTAAACACCACTGTCCATCCAATAAATCCCACTCTATCGATCATTACCATAATCTCTCTTTCTTTTTCTTTTTTTCGTGCTAGAATTATTTACAGCTAAAAAAAAAAAAAAAGGAAACAATCACAATTACCTCGTCATTTTGCGCGAGGTTAATGTAAAAGTTTGAATTGGAAAAAAAAAAAATAGGCAAAAAAAAAAAAAAGAACCAATCAAGAGAAATCAATCAATCGAGAGTGATCGGTGAAACAAATATTTCCAAAATATAATGTTCGATGTATATAACATTTCACAGAGTTATATATAGTGTTGTATTATAAGATTATTATTAAGATTGAAAAACAAAGAGAAAACGTGTGTTTGTACATATTCATTGGAAATATTCATTTTGTATTATTTATACTTGTCCGCTATGAGTGCACCGGTGTTATTCATAACCCGCTTCTAGATCAGCTCTACGCGTTCCTAATCGTTCCACGGCTCGTTGTGCACCGCAAAAAAGAATGTCCCGAGCTTCGTTCGGCAGGCAGTGTTCAGAGATAGTGATTTTCTGATTCGAATTCTTGGGGAACCGCCACCGCGAGATTCGTCGCAAGTTATTATCTCATACGAGCAGAATTCTTGATATCTTGATTAAATTAATTTTTGCCATTATTCGTAAAAGTGTCAATCCATCAAAATATTAAATAAATATAATATAATTACGGTATAATTCCAAATTTCCAATCTGTTAAATAATTCAACGAATAAAATATTTATTTATAAAAGAAATATTCAATTCATGTTTAATCGTAGCAAACAATTTATTTTAAACTAACACGCTATTACACGCTATACGAAAAGTTTTTGCCGTGCAATTTCGATCTTTATATTAAAATTTAACAGATAATTGTCATAGTTCGTGTAGTTCGAAAAATATATAAAGTATTTACACTACTGGCGACGAATATTACGGAGATGGTTACGTTTCCAATTTTATCTTTACACTTATTACGTGTACTTTACCGATAGTACGACTTCGGCCCACATTTCTCTTTCTTTTTTCTTTTTTCTTTTCCTTTTTTTTTTTTTTTTTCCTCCTACTTTGGAAGCATCGGGAACATCTATTCCGTGTCTAGTTCTGAAAAGCAGCTATGGCGACTACCAGTCGTAATAGAAGGCGCTGTATGTACATGTTATATATATATATATATATATACATATACGAAATTGGTGCTAAAAGCGGGTCGTGAACATACGAACCTGGATAAGGTCCATGTGATCTGCTCGTTTCCGCTCCCTCTCCGCGGAATTTTCTGCCGAGTGATTATTAGAAATTCGAGGTATGCCCACCTGCTTTTCCTTACTCTTTCCTTTCCTTTTTACTCTGCCCTGCCACTTAACCCTATTGTCATTTGGATTTCCTAAAGGATCTCGAGGAAAATGCGAATTTCTTTCTTCTTTTTTGAAATTGGAATAAAAGATGATGACAGACGATTAATTAACGACACGATCGATAAATTCTCTATAATTTGTATACAACATTTTTCCCAGGTGTTAAAAGTTAGCCAGAAATCTTTTGATACCATTACGAGTTATTGTTATCTCTAACTACTTTTTAGAAGAATGTTTCGAAATTAATTGGATCGCGACCTATATCTGGATTATCTGGAAAGGATTTCGTAAAATTCCAATAGATAATAACCGTCCTCTGAAGCTATTATAGATGCACATACATGAACCTACTCCTAATAATCAACTATACACTAAGTTCGTAACTAAAGATCTACTCAAATCTAATTTATACAAACGAGAAGTATCTGTCGATGAATATTCAGGCTGTATCTCACGGGCAGAGAGTAGAACACACGGTGCAAGCAAGACACCGTTCCTCGTCTTTTCTTCCTTTTTTTTTTTTTTATTGCTTGAAAAGTTGAATAGATCTGGAGAAAGCCTCGATGATTTCACGTGATTTATTTGCAATTAAAAATTACTCTGATATATTTATCCGCATTTCTTTAAAGAAAAGATGCTAAGTTATTGGCTACACGGAAGATTGTTTGAAATTCCATGCTATCGATATTTTATATTAATTAATAGAAGAAAATATTCATATACGTATGCATTGTTGTTTTCCTCTTCGAAAAGGAAAGTTTGTCTCAACGAATGGGATTTATCTTAAGCATTCTCGCTTCGAAATCGAGATACAGATTTTGCTTTTTCTTATATCGAAATATTGTGTTCTGAAACGAAATTAGTTTAATCCTTGTTTAATTTGTTTGTTAATTTGTTCGACTTCTCGTTGCAAAAGGATTTCCTTTCGAAGAAAGAACAAAGTGGAAAATAATCATGAGATTTATTTATCTCGAAGGTTATCTCACGTTAAAAGCTTCAATCGTTAAAAGCTTGATGATCTTGTTATTCGGCTTTCTTTTTTATCGAAATATCAAATCATTCGAATTTATTTCAATTTTTCGACTTCTCGCGTAATTTAGAAAAAGAATGGAATATCCGTAAAGCGCATTTATCTTTCTCTAAAAAACGAAAAAGAAAAAAAGAAAAGCCTACCATGACAAATTTTATTCAATAAATTGATTCACAAAACGTAACGTAAATTTTAATTTGTCTCGAGATCGAAGAATTGAAAGATCTTTTATTCTATTTTCAAAACACGAGGCCATACGAATTTATCCAAAAATTTATCCAAATATTCTAATTGCTGCAATTTATTCATTCACTTTTAAACGAGATTAAAAAAAAGATAAATTTTACCATCTATCTATTCTAAATTTCTTTCTCCATAATTTTTCCATTTTCCAAAACAAAAAATTTGATTCAAAAAAATATTCATGCGCTTCAATTATCCTTCTTTCAAAAAAAAAAAAAAAAAAATAAAAAATGAAAAACCGTTAAAAAAACTTTCGACCAATAAATAACCATCGAGTTCATCTCGCAAAAATGTTCAATCTCCGAAATTTCGATCAATTCGTCAAAAAAAAATCTATCCAACATAACAATCACGACAGTCTCTTTCAAGCAATTTCGAATCTCCATTCCCTGAAGCGATAATCCACCTTCTCTAGCGAAGAAGAATTGAGAAGTTTTCTCGCGGATGAAATTTCCACGCGATCGATGTTCTTCGATGGAAGAAGAGAGATGATATAGAGAGAGAGAGAGAGAGAGAGAGCATCGCCTCGCCTGAACACTGTATTGCGACGCACCGACGATAAATCAATACGATCCCAGGAGAGCGGCCACGCCATTTGCGATCATGTGCGATTCGCTTTGCGCGCTCGCTTATGCTGCTGCTGCGCGATTTAATGAATTAAAGAAAAGAAAAAAAAAAAAAAGAAGGAAGTTGAAAAAAAGAGAGGAAAAAAAAAAGGGGGTTGTATGTACAAAGAATCTCAGCTCCAAGCATGATGCGGATACGGCATACGATCTATAGAAGCGTTTCCAGGCAGCTGCGAGCTCTATAAACCAGACGTACAGTACTTGACGAAAAACAAGTTGGATCCCTTCTCGCGTTTCATTATTCGAATCTCGTCTCCGAGACGGATTTCCTTGGATTTATCCCGCCTTTAATAATGCATCGAGTTTTGTTTCATTAACGAGTGTATTGAAAACGACGGTGGTTGTATTTCCTAACAATTGCGAATCGGTTTTTTTTTAACCTTTTTTAATCATTTAAACGCAGGGATTGAATCTTTTTTTTTTTTTTGGTGTTAATAATGCGTTAATAAAGTGTGTTACGTTGTTATGTTTAATCGATGGGATAATTAAGTTTTTTTAAACAAATTATAAGTAAATATGTTGAAGTTGAATTCTGAATTATCGATTTCCTTGAAAATCTGAAATTCGATAATAAATTCTACTTTATCTAAATCTGTATCGAAATTTTGAATTTGAAAATCTCGTTGAATGTAATTCGATTTTTAATTATCCAATTTTGTTAGATTTTTTATTTAGTAATAGAAATATAAATATAAAATATAAAGTGGCTAGAAATAATCGAATGAATCAATCTCTTTCTTTTATTGGATTATTTTTAGCGTGGAATAATGTTTCGATAAATATCCTTATGTAAAAATTGTTCACGAGGAAATAATTTCTCGATAAGGAGAAACGATTTCGCGGATGTGATCTTGAAAACAGGCCAAAAACTCATGTTGGAATATTCAATCAGTTATCCAGAATTCATTTCATTTTTTCCCATTCTTTTTCTTTCCTTCGTTCCTCGCGATAAAAACTACTCAGTGATTTATACAACACGAAATATATCACCCAAATATCTTATATCTTAATTCGTTCGAAATGTTATTTTACTCAAAAAAAAAATCCTAAATTGTACGAAAAAATATAAAGATTGTTAAACAAATCAATTTATCAAAAACGTATCATAACCTAAATTTTTTTAATTTTTCAAGTTAATTAAGAATTTCGATTCCCTAAAAATCCAGTTTTAAATTTCTTATAAACGAAGAAACTTTGATATACCATAATCCTCATCCAACTTGTTTCATCAAGCACCGTGCATATTTATACACAATTTTTAGCAAAAAGAAGCCTGTTCGAAATAATGCGTGTGTAATATTTCCACCGAACGAACGACTCGTTTCGATCTCGTTCGATCGGTGGTGTTTTTTTCTTTTGTCGAAATATCATCGAAATTTATACATATTTACCTGAACGAAACTTTCATTTTTATCGCGACGCGTTGTAATATTTTTTTTTTATCTCTCTCTCTTTTTTTTTTCTCTCCAATAAAATATCGAAATCGGAATTCGAGCAGATTTTTAGCAATATTTGTGTGGAAAATCGAAGCACAGGCAAGGCTCGTTTCGTCTTTGTTGCAAAATCCTTGTTGGCAAGAACAAACTAGCGAAACTAGCGTGTTCTCAATGGCGGTATAATATATATATATATACATATGTAGAATGGAACAATAAGCACGTTTTGTTTCATTGATATTTGATGTTGTTGCACAGCACAGTGACACAATTATGATACTTTGTATATATATATATATATATATACGTGTGAACGTGACCACGATGTGAACCTCGATAGAGATCTTCTTTTTTTCCTTTTTTTCGATCGATAGCATTTTTTGTAGCGTGAGTACAAAACAATGACGTTGTCTTCACTTGTACACAACAATGCAATAAGCGGTTACAAGTATTTACAACTCGATACAACGGTTTGGCCAGATAAAATTCTTGTTATTGAGTGTAGTAAATACGTACGATGAAAGTGATTTTTTGTCCCCCCACAATTTTTTTTTTTTTTAATTTGTCGATTTATTAAAATTGAAAGAAGGATAAATTTAAGATAAGATGAAATTAAAATACGACCGTGATGTATTTTTTCAACTGTGTAAATTTCACAAAAAGGAACAATAGGATAAGAAAAATTCCTCCTGTTGTCAGTGTCTTTTGGTCTGCCAGAAAATTGATACGCACTACTTAACCCTTTGCAATCCGAACGGTATCCGACATTTTATCTCAACCGGTCTTGGTAACCTACTTTCCAAAGATGCTCGTAATTTTAAATACATTTTCATATTTTCGTCTCAATTTTGATAATAACTAAATATATCCTTCACTTGATTTTATTTTATTTCTATTACACATTCTCACTAAAATATTACTTTATAAAAAGGAATTTTTTAATGATCTTATCTTAAATCTCTGTAATTGTTGATTTTTCAATCGACAATAAATCACTTTCAACGAGTAACTTGTACCAGCGTAAAAAAAAAAAAAAAAAAAAAAACGACGAAATAACACGCAAAAGCCCCCCCCCCCTCCTCCCTCCCCCCCCAAAAAAAGAATTACATTCCAACAAGTAACATCATCCCCCGTGTTATTAATTAATAAAATTTCAGTCGACGGTTCGTCGCGTAATTAATAATCTTATTGCGGATTTATCGACACGTGGAAACGAGGCAAGCGCAAGGGAATCGATGTGTACACCGTGGTGGCGGCATTGGTGAAAATTAAGTGTCTGTCGGTGGTGGGTGGACGTCGGGTTGCGCATCATCGGGCAAATATGAGTGACAGAGGTGTGTACGATCGATCCGGATGTAACCGATTGCACTTACGAATGTAAGATGGAAATCGCGGTATATACGACGGTCTATTGGTGATGAATATAGGATGCATTTTATGGGCCACGTGTATATGTGTGTGTGTGTGTGTGTCTGCGTATATATATATATACATAATATTCGTGTATATGTACAATAACCAATGATCGTAAAATAATTTGGATGACAGAGAGATAGATAGATAGAGAGAGAAAGAGAGAGAGAGAGAGAGAGAGAAGAAAGTAAAGAAGAGAACAATTGTGTATGCGTGCATTTAGTTGTTCCGTGTGTGTATGTGTTGTGCGTGTGTGAGTACGTGTATGTGTGCGCTTATTACTTAGCGTGACGTAACGTCTTACTTCTTTTTTCTTTTTCTTCCGTCCAAAACCTCCCTGAAATTGGAGAAACGGAGAAACAGTCGTTACACACAGAGAAAAAACACAGAATATACATAGGGTATAAAACAGAGATACAGGTAGAGAAGGGGGGAGGGGGAGGGGCGGGGAGGGGGGGGAGGGAGAACTAAGGGGGAGGAGAGGGTGAAGAATAGAAGAAGAGACAGAAAATTTGCAAAATTCATTAAAAAAAAAACATATACGTATATAGATCTAACTAAATTATGAGATTAAATTGGTTATCTAATGAATGGTTAATTATGTAAATAGTACATGTATATATATATATATGTTGGGATTATGTGGATTGATCATTTGTTAAAGCTGGAGATGATTGAGAAGAAGTAGAGAATGAAAGGAACAGAGACAGATAGAGACAAGAGTGGAGTTACAGAGATTGTCAGGAAATAAATTGCGGTTTTTTTCATTATTTAACACAGAATTAAAGATTGATTGTACGTGATAAATTTTGAATTTTGAATTGTGATATATTATTATTTTAAAAACCGTAATATGCTTTGCTGTAACAAATTATTTCTTTCTTAATCACGTTATAAAAAAATATACATATATATATATATATAAATAATTTTTTCTATAAAAATAAACGATATCGTATGAATCATGAAAATTATCAGAATTTAAAATTTACCAAAATTAAATTGAAAAATATTATATTATGGGAAAGAAATTATTACAGTTTGTTTTATTTCAATTGAATAAATTAATATTAAGTTACACAATATTTCAAATAACATCATATAAAAAAAAACCACAATTAATTTCTCGACATTCGTACATATTCATATAGAGATAGACAGATAGATAGATAAATAGATAAATACATATATTTCACGTTATATAGAATTATATCGATATATATATATATATATGTATATGTATGTATATCACGTTGGCTTTTATATATATATATACGAAACGAAGGATGTTCAAGCGAGAGGATCGCGGGATTAGGCAAGCCAGGAGAGAAAGAAGGATATATAGAGATCGAAGCGTACCAATTGATACCATCTCGCCTCTCTCTTTCCCTCCCTAATATTACGGGATCAGTTGATATAAAAGAGACAGTGAAAAGAGATTTCGTTAATTAATCGGGAAGCCCGAATTTCGTGATCTCGTAAGTAGGTCTCGAACCAGAGATCAATATTATATACTCGCACGAAACATTCATAATTAATTGGAAACAAATATTTTTATCAATTACACGAACGTGAAACGTTTGTTGACATTTTTAAGGTCTTTCCGTTTTTTTTTCTTTTTTTTTTATTATTGATGGAAGAACTAAGATCTTTTTCTATGATACGCGACAATCGATCATTTTTTCTTTTTTTTTTGGAATTTCTAATTGCAGTTACTATAACACTGAGCAAACATGAAGGATGTTTCATTAATTTTTTCGTGAAGTATTCTTTTCAAACGATATTGATGATATCGATGTTATGTTTTTGTCTTTTGAATATAAAAAAAAAAAAAAAAGTAAGAAGAATAGAAGATAATAAAACGTAGGAGTATATTGAGTGAATGTTTTGGTAATAATTTTTTTTTTAAAAAGAAAATTCACGTTTAAGAAGATAGGCGAGATATAGGTAGATATTATTGACCCATACTACTAGAGCGCGGCGGAGTGAACAGTATAAGGGGAATAAGACTGTCCATAGTCAGACGCGCTGAAGAACGGTCATATCCACAAATACATCTCCCTGTACTTTCTTACGCGTGCAGATTTATTTCTAAAACAAAAAAAGATCTGTTACATTTACATTTTTACCAAAAAAAAAGAAAAAAAAAAACAAGCAACAAATCTTCGAATTGAAAAGTAAATTTAATTTAATTAATGATTCGTGATATTCATCATTCAACAATGTTATTTCCAATTAACGAATAAAATTGCTAAAGAAAAGAAAAGGAAAAAGAAAAAAGAATAAACAAATCTTCAAATTAAGGAATACATTCACTCAACAATCCCTCAAACAATTAAAATATCGCGGGAAGACAAGAAAAAATTATATATATATATCGAATCGTTGAAAAGAAAAGAACTTCGAAACAAACAAAATCTCTCGAAAGAGAAAAGACAATTAACACCGATATCACAAGTACATCGATGAAAGGATCCATCCTTTTCATAATGAACTTACCAGTGAAAGACTCAGCACAATTAATATTATATATATGTTTTGCGAGGCTACGTAAGTTAAAAGGAAATGTTACAATATAACAGAGGGAGAGAGAGAGAGAACTACGACACAGCAATATTTATGTACGTATATATAGAAAACAGGCACAGATAGTGACACTGCAGACATCGAGCTCGTACGCGAAACATATCTTTGGTAACACAGAAACAATACATTATTCGACGACAATCGTGTTATACATATAATACATATATATATATAATATATATATATATTATATATATATATATATATATGTATGTAAACAGATATAGACAAAAGTCGTCGAATATGGGAATATAGGCATGTATTTTCAACTACGTTCAGCAATAAATCAAGCAAACAATGAACGCGACGGGTAGCGACAATCGGTTGTTTACAAGAGGGGTTAAGGTAGAAACACCGCAGCTTGACGTACAATCGTATATATATAGTATTATAGTATATAGATAGATAGATATATAGGTAATGATATTGTGAACATGAGGAAACAGATCTCGCAAAATACGGCACTGCAGCTACGCAAAAAAAATGTACGATCAAAAAATATAAAAAAAAAAAAAAGATAAAAAAATATCTCAAAAATACGAACAGTAAATACTGTATAAAATGTCCATTTAGCGTCAGGGATAAAACATCAGTTATATCAGTGTATCTTAAGATCGATTAATATTTATTCGTTGAAAAAAATAACTGTGAATAACTGTTAATTTTATTATTATTTTAATAATTAATCTTCTCGATATCAATTTTTCAATCGAGTTAATTTGATCCGTTTTTCTTTTTCTTTTTCGTTTTTTGGATGAATATCAATCGATTCTTAAGT